CAAACAAGGTTTGTACCTCAACCTCGTGGACGAGACTAAGTCAAACCGAATGTTTATTAATTCCGGCTTCCCTGGTTCTTTGAAAGCCGAGTGCGATTTCAAAACCGAACCGAAGGCGTCTTCCACCACTGTCTCTAGTTGTGGTAGTGCCGAAATTGAGACTTGTAAGCATCTGATCCAGAAAAATTGGAATCGCATTGCTTCCCTCCACTTGTCCAGTTCATAAATAGGTCATACAAGGTCGAAACGTAATTGAGTACGTCTTCCATCCAAAACTATTTTTTCTTCTTTCTTCCTCGGCATGAAGGTCGCAATCTGACTTGATGATGAAACATAGGTTACTAGATTGCGACATTCATTATGAAACAAGCCGCGCTTAGGAGGGGCGTTAATCAATCGGTTAGTGACCCATCCGTCCTCATAGGTAGCACAATTCGTTTCTTAATGTCTACGGATAAGGAAGTTGACTCTTCACCAAATAGAATAGTTATTGCATGTTCTTTGAGCCATTCCACTTGAATTTTGTACACCTCCGGGTTGATAATTACTCGGACGAAATCTTCCCCAACTTCGACTGTGTTGCGAGATAAGCGCTTTGGTAGAATCCCATCGGTGTAACATGTACTTAGGATTCCTCGAATTCTCTGTTTTTTAGAGTCTGACAAGGGAGCGTCTGGGTTGACCGGTGGAGGGGGGAAAGGGGGGGGAGAGGGAGGGAGGGGGAGGGGCGTTCGAGGAGGAGGGACCACTGGAGTCCCCCATTTCTAGGCCTTGTCCCTTCACCCACCCTACATGGGCGTGCACACCTTAGGTCGAAAAGCACAGATAAATAAAAACCACAGTCACATAATAAAACTATCAAACAGGGTAGTATTTACCCCTCAAAAGACCTAGTCCTAGTTACACTATTACGCTGTCAGCTGATGAAGCATCACCAGGAACTGGTCCACAAACATAAAAAACAACCCCCCCCCTAGTCATTGAGAGCAAGGTATACCTTCCATGATAGCCGAATGTCTCTTGCCAGTCTTCAATATATTGGGGCCAAAGGCTCTGACGTTAATCTCCCGATCTCCTGATCTCCTTTGCTCCTTCGACCATCCAACACGTAAGCACTCATTAGGCTCTTTTCCCTTCATCGCCCTGTTGACTTCTCATCATCACTCTTAGCACCCCGGTGAATTTGTATTGCGCGGGTCATGGTAGAACCTCAGGGGTTACGATAAAAAAATCCTTCCTGCTGCTGTTCGAGTTGCCATCTTGCGTGAGCCTTTCGCTAATCCGTGCCCTAATCGCGATTACCACTGAACGCCCCCGAAGCGGCGTTCAACGGTAACGATTAGTGCTTGGAATAACGTTACGATTAATGCTCCTTCCGCCACCCAAAACGGCCTCCCTTGGGGTACATTCCTCAACTGCAGTGCCTTTCCTTTTTTTTTGGTTTTCTAGACATCATTGCATCCTGAAACAGAGGAACTCTGACAGTTGTGTTTGGCTATCTGACATCAAACTCGTTTCCTTCTTTGGGCAATGAATGCATTTGGCCATCCACGTTGTCCCTGTCCATTTTACAAATGGTGACCTCCTGTCCCCTCACTACGGGGAGTACCCCTTTTTCACGGAAACATTCACTCCGACTATTCCAGACATGTTTCATTTCTCCGAGTTACGTTTAAAAAATAAGGAGAAAAGTTGTTTCTAGCGTTTTTCTTCAGTTTTTCTATTTCTTGTTTCAAATTTATTAATGTCGAAATAACGTCACACCGTTAAGTTTTCTAAACTCAACAACGATAGGTGGGACCAGACCCCCAGGAGCCTTACCCAATTTCGCTTAGAGTGAGTAGATACGCATTGGCATAAGGGCCTCGTTCGACACCACTAAAGAATCCTTACATGTAAGGTTTTCATCATTCCACCCCTCACTAATCACAAAGAAAAAGAAATCATGGGCCCTACAAAAGTAAGGATTCCCCAACCAAAACGGCCCTTATTGTAACGACGGTCGTGGAGGTCACTTGAAAGTAGGGGGCAGAACCTTTACATCCGTGGAGAAAACAATTGATTAATTCTTTTTTTTTTTCTTAGATGTTTCGCTGCCGTTCCCGGTCCAACGACGGTATTGTCTGGTGCAGCGTGGGACACCAGTCCCATAGCAACCTCCAACGGGCATGCTGTCCCCCACCAGTGCCCCCGCCTTTCCTCCACCAGGCCATCTCCGTTGGTGGTTAGCGATCGTTGTAGGACGCTCCGTGGAGGTGGGTGAAATGGCCGTTGGCAGCCATGTTTGAATTTGAACGTGAGATGTGGACAATGCCCATGGGTCCTGCTGCCCTTCCTCTGCCCTCCGTTTCCTGTCGAGCATCACATGCGCCGCCTGTAAATTATTGTCCACTGCCTTGCATGATTTCATTGATTTTTCCTGTTCAAAATGTACAACCTCGGCTCGATATACTTTACTGAAGGAGCGCATGACTGACATGGTGAGGAAGACGACTCTGCTCAATTTCCTCCTTGGGGCATTGGTACTTATCATCATCCTGCACGTGTGGCAACTGACCACCACTAGCATGGAAGGAGGAAGGATTTGAAGAGGCTTCGTCGAGGTGCTTCGGCAAGCAGAGGCATGGGGGATGGGCGCACAGTTATGGAATGGGCAGTGGGGGCTGCGGGAAGGGCAGTCCAGCGAAGCGCGGCGTATGCACCACAAGTTTGATCCGCTCTCTATTCACATCTGCCCCCTCACCAGCAGCCATTGCCTGACAACTTCACGTGGGTGCCGCCTTCGCCGACCCTCGATCTGGCATGGGGGTTGACTCATACTTCGTATGACACACCTACGAGAGCGGATCAACGGTGTAGGAGTCCCGATCCCATGTCTGCACTGCTTGCAGTCAGGTAGGGAGAAGGCCGTCGTGCTTTCAATTTGCATCTGTCACCCTCCAGCACCATGGGTGTGTCTAGGACGGTCCTCGTCCAACAAACTGGGCGTGGAAGCAATGCAAGACGTCGACTTTGATGAAGGAGTGTCGCAACATCGGCCTAACCACATTTCAGGGACCACGGCGAGCCAAACCAGACCTGCAATGGGTATTGTGCAACAACCTCCATTGACTACCGTGAACGTGCACGAAGGGAGGCATGACGTGTCCACTGCTGCCAATTCCCCTCGTTGTGTGGAACGTATAGTGCGTCGCTTAAACTCCACGCGGGCGAGCAGTGATGGCGAGGGAGCACGACAGGGTGGTGTTGCTAGCGATAACGACTTGACGAACGCCGAGATGACGAAGAGGAAACGGTCGTCGTGAAGGAGTGATTGGAGTCAGGAAGACAAAGCAAGCATCAAAAGGTCGTAGGAAGGCAAAGGTGAAGGATACGAGGGGTGAAGCGGATGGCGAGGGTGGTGGGAGTTGTGGGCAGACGAACTGGAATTTGAACCAGTCCCTGGTTCTTGTCCGGTGCAAGAGAGACAAAAACGACTACTTTGCCAATGCGGGACACTACGCGCGTATGAAAACGAAGGAGCAGGAATGGACAGACGACTCCGGGCGGATGGAGAAGGAAGGAGTTCGTAGGGTATGAGGACCAGTGCATGAAGAGGTGGGAGAACAAATTTGGGTGGTACAAAGAAAAGTATGGGACAGGGAGAAGGACTCAGAACTTCAGTCCTACTTCCTGATGAGCTCCAAAACACGGAAGGAGAAAGGATACAAGTTCAATCTAGACTGCATTTTGCAGGGGAACAATTAGGCAATTCACCCGCCGAATCACGTGGACACGGGCACGAATCAAGGACAGCAATCCCAGCAAGGGGAGCATAGCCAAACCCCAGTAGGTGGGGGGGAAGCGGACACTTCGGCGGGCCGGAACAAGGAAGCTGATGGAGGCGATGGATATGGCAGCAGGTCCTTGGGGAACCGTATGGTGGGGATGCAGAAGAACACAAGGCAACTGGCTTTCAAGGCGGTCACCAATGTCATGAAGACACACTCCACTGTCGTCGCCGAATCCGTGAACCACTCGAGCAAGCGCTAGTGCGAGGTGTTCCAGAGGCAGTGCGACATAATGGACAAGGAGGCAAGAACGTGGAAAAGACAGTGTGAAGTCTTGGACGTCGAGCAGAAGATGTTGAGCAATGCACTTTTGAAGATTGCATCGGCATTGGCACGAGACTGATGGCGAGGTTCGGCTTGCAGTGTGACATGCCAGTCGACGGTGGAGTGGGGGGTGATGGTGTAATGGTGTCGACTACCTGTTGCTTTCATGTGCGAGTGGCCTGGAGAGCTGCATCTTTGTCTTATTTTCATACTTTTTTATGTTGTATTTAATTATTGCTTACCACGTCACTGTGGGGAATGTGTACCACCTCCGACCTATCGCTTGATTGTCGATGTGACATGGAAGATGAATGCACCATTTTGTACTCGATATTCCAAACAATTGATCTTCTTTCATTTTTTCTATTTCCCCCCCCCTACTCTTGTGTCTCTTGGTTTGCATCAACTGCGCCTCACTGTTGTCCGAGGCATCGGGCTTGTGTGGACTGCTGCAAGACCTGCGCATTGAAGTTCGCAGGCCGTCGTTGTCAACTTTAGAACAACCAGGAATCTAATGAAGAGAGGCTCCGGCTGCCGAGCGATCGGGATCCGGCAATCCGTTAGACAGGATGCAATCGGACATCAGCGATGTTTGTCCAAGCGATGACCGATTGTGGGCGGGGCTGGGGAGGTTGTCCATGCTTGTGTGTTTTTGTGATGTTTATAAAATGAAAGCAACATGGGTGTGTGTGGGTGAACTGAAGTTGGCATGCGCGACAGAAGAGGGCGGAGGTGCGAGGAGTGAGTACTATATGAGTAAGGTTTTGCGAGAGTCACAAAGTGTATTGCAATGTTGTATTCGTGAAGGGGATGATGACTCGGAACGGGGTTGTGTGGACCTGAAATGGTGAACTGCACGCTTGTTCTCAGTGTGATTTCGGTGAGAGATGACGTTCATAGCCGCGAGAATGACGACGTCAACAGTTTGCTAGTTCACAAATCCATCTGTTGTGGGGTGACGAGGTGCACAACCATGGACATCCATGTGGCACTTAGGGGCCGTGTCCTCGGCAAGACGATCACATACTACGAGCTGAGGCATCATCGTGGAGACGAGGATGGTCACCTATCTGATTTCGCCAATGACATGACGGGGCATGAGGTGCGCCATTACGAGGTACACGCAAATGGAGAAAAAGTTCTCCATGTTAGTGTGGCTTTGGGATTTGTGGGAGACCTGATGCGCAAGGCTATCAGTTACGCGATGAAGGTCGGCAGGGCAATTCCCAACCGCTGGGACGGGGGGTTGGACGTCCTCGTGGATGTCATCGACCTCCTTATGTCCAACCTCGTGAATGAGTTTGAGGATCATATGAGTGACCCTGCGGATTTCAGGGTGCACTCCGATCCTCGTTTGCATAACCGCCCAGGTCTCCGTGGTGACATCCGGCACCTCAAAGCGTAGCAACAACGCCGACGATGGCGGCAAGAGAACTGGGATGATAAGAGAGCAATATGGAAAACTAGAGAGAGAGAGAGAGAGAGAGAGAGAGAGAGAGAGAGAGAGAGAGAGAGAGAGAGAGAGAGAGAGAGAGAGAGAGAGAGAGAGAGAGAG